AGTGCAGTGGCACGCTCCCGGCCACCACAGCCTCAACCTGCTGGACTCCGGCAATCCTTCTGCCTCAGGCTTCCCAGTAGCCGAAACTACAGGTGTGCGCTACTACGCCTGGCTAATTTTTTATTTATTGTAGAGATGAGGTCTCGCCAAGTTGCCTGGGCGAGTCTCGAACCTGCGGACGGCAATCCACTCACCTCAGCTTCCCAAAGTGCTGGGATTACAGGCTGAGCCACCCAGCCCGGCCCACCCCTACTCTTAATAAGGCTTTGGCTCTCAGCTTAAGTGTCCCTTTCTCAGAAAAACTTTCCTTTACCCCTAAAAATGGTCAACTCCTTTTGCTATGTCTTCTTATTATATGCTTTTCTTTTCCACTGAAACATTAAATAAATTTGGAAATTATGTGTTTATCTTTGGGATTTGATGATTAATGTCTGGCTCATCCATTAAACTGTGAACGACACAGAGCAAAGACGATGTCTTTTCTGTTTATCATGGGATCCTAAATAGTTGTTTAGTAAGTGCTCAGTGCCCATTTGGAATGAGTAAGTGTAGTCACCAAGAAAGTTTCCTAGACATCTGCCTTCTTTAAAGCATTTTTTGAGCTAAATTGTAGCCATTTGCTTTGGAAATACATAGAGATCTCATGAACAAAGCCCAACTGTATTTAAGAGACTATGCAGGACCTCGTTAAGTTTCCAACACTTGCACTCTAAGAGAAATTCCCTTGGGGACATGCCATGGTGCACACTGAAACCATGAAGGCCTTCCTCCTGCCAGCTCTGTGGAGTTACTTAGTTGCGTGTTCCCCAGTGTGGTGGCCATGTGCTGAGGCCCATTTTCTCCACGGGTCCAGAGACTAGGGGCATTGAGACAGATTTATAGGGCTTCCACCTTTGACCTCAGTCAGAGAAAAGGTTGTGAGGACGGTGGAGGCAGAGCAGGGTGGCTGAAGATGCTCAGCAAAGGCTGGAAACACACTCATCATCGGCGCTTTGCACAGGGACCCCATGCAGAGTCTGGACACCCGCATCCCAGAGCAACATGGGGAGAGAGGGAGCTCAGCTCCCGGCCTTGACCTCTGAAAACCCCAACACGGATTCCGACAAAGCCCCATGTAGGAGGAGACAGATGGCGGCACCACTGAGCAGCTTGTTCGCCAAGAGCCAACCCAGTAACAGGACGTGGCCATTGAGGGTTGACCAGAGTTGGCCTTCCAGAGTAAACGGACATCAAGAGTTGACCGGTGACAGGAGGTGGCCCCTGAGGGGCAGGACATCCCCAGGGAGGGAAAAGAGAGCTAGCTTCCAGAGTGAATGAACAGAGAGCATTGGGGCAGTGAAGTCATTCTGACCTACAGAGACAGGGAATCCCATTTAACGTGGGACTAGGAGAGTCAAGGAAGGTCATGGTCTCTGCTCTTCAGCCTGGCAGACACTTCGTAGCAACAGGTTTTTTTTATGGGGAATATGCTACCATGTGGTCAGGGTCAGAGGCCAGTTCAGAAAGACCACTCACCGAGGAAATAAACTGAAGGAAAGGATGAAAGAACACAAGGCAAGAAGATGAGATGGCTAGTAATCACCAACACTCAGCTTGGGAATTCAAGGTAGAAAAGGCACCATGAGTTCCCAGCTGCTTGGTCCAGCCCTGCTAGGACATGGCTATGGACTGAGAGGTCACAGGGAAAGGGGACGCCTTTGATGACCAAGTCAGTGGTCATGCTTTATGCCACTGTCTTTACTGCCCAGACACCAACTGAGACAGATCCCAACCTCCTGGGGTTCACCACAGTCCCTTAAGACTCCCAGATAATCTTTGGTTCCAGAAGGCTCTTAACCACTCCTGATGCATACTCAATTTGTTACTCCCAGGATCATCCCAAATAATAAAGATATGAATAAAAGCAATGAACATTTGCAAGTGCTTATTGGTGCACAATGCTGAGTACTTTCTCAATTAATTTTCACAACAACCCTATAAGATTAGTAATATTCTTAGCCCTTTTTTTAAAAATCAGGTCTCATTCTGTCACCCAGGCTGGAGTGCAGTGGCATGATCACCACAGCCTTGAACTCCTGGGCTCAGGCAATCTTCCTGCCTCAGTCTCCCAAGTAGCTGGGACTACAGACATGTACCACATCTGGTTTTACCACACCTAAGTTTTTAATGTATTTTATTTTATTTTTTTTGTAGAGACAAGTTCTTGCTATGTTGCCCAGGTTGGTCTTGAACTTCTGGGTTCAAGCTGCCATCCCCCTGTCTCAGCCTCTCAAAGTGTGAACCACCATGCCTGGCCAATCCCTATTTTACATTTTGGGAAACTGACTCTTAGTTAAGTCATTGACTCACAGTATAAAGTCAGGAAATAGGAGAGCCAGAACTCACACACAGATGACATAAACTATGGTTTTAACCACTCCATTTTACCAAGATGTCTTGCTTTGTTGTAAAACACTCATGTCCCCCAATCCTTTTCCAGTGTGTTGTGGATTTGGGAGCAAGATGACTGTCCCACACCCACTTAGAAAGAAGTTGGCCATCTGTGAAGCTGCCTAGTCCCCAGCCTCACCAGGGAAGTCCCAGCACCTGCTGCGACCTCCCACCTGTCACTGCCTGGCAAACACTGACAAAAGCCTGTCGCTTGCCAAACCTCATGGGAACGAGAGATAAGACGCAGTGCTTGCCCTCAAAAGTGTGATCTAGCAGGCACGGAAAGGGCGCCCGCAGACACTTTTCTATAAGCAGCAGAGGGAAGGGCAGAATGCCACAGGGAGAGGAAGAGGGTGCGGAGCCAGTTCTGGATCCAGGATGGTGCTCTGGAGGGGGCGATCCCTGCAATGAGTCTTCAAGCATGAGTGTGCTTTGGTGGGGAAAAAAAGTGGGAAGGGCACTCAAGTCAGAGAGAATAGTCCAAGCAAAGGCACAGAGACATGAAAAGCCTGCTGTGGAGACAGGGACACAAGGAA